ATCACGTGAAAGTAATATCTGGTTCATCTGAAGGTGCAACCGGTATGGTTGTTTCTGTTGAGGAGCATGTGGTAAACTTGGTATCAGATACAACCAAGGAGCTTGTAAGTTGAGGAAGTCTGGTAATTTGAGTCTCTAATCTGAAGTCCTTCAGAATAATGCTGATATATACCATATATTTTTTTTAATATCTGCAGCTCCGTGTATTTGCTGATAATGTTGTTGAGAGCTCTGAAGTAACATCTGGTCTCACTCGTATTGGGGAGTATGAGCTCCATGACCTTGTAATACTAGAGTAAGCACTTTCTTGTTATTAGAGTAACATTAAACAGTTTAGTCCTTTTCGAACTAATAGCTAATTTTCTAAAGTGATTACGTTTTTGCAGCAGCAAGAGTTTTGGCGTGATTATACGTGTAGACAGTGAAGCTTTCCAGGTGAATACTATAATTTTGAGGTTTGAATTATTCTGTTAACTGTGTTGTTCACATTTGAGCGATAATATAGGTCCTTAAAGGTGTCCATGATAGACCTGAGGTAGCACTTGTTAGACTTGGAGAGATCAAAGGGAAAATTGAGAAGAAAGGGAATGCCCAAGATCGGTTTAAGAACTAGTTAGCGGTGAAAGACGTGGTAAAAGTTCTTGAGGGTCCTTGCAAAGTGAGTAATTGGCGTTTCAAAAGATTTTCTTGTTACTAACATTGTTCATACATGGTGTTTGTTTTCATCATAACCATTTTTGTTACTTATAGGGAAAACATGGTCCTGTGGAACACATCTTCAGAGGAGTTGTTTTTATTTATGATTGCCATCACCTTGAGCATGCTGGTTTTATTTGTGCCAAAACACAATCATGTGTGTTGATTGGTGGCTCATGGGCAATTGGTGATAGAAATGTATGTCTGTATTTTCTTCTTGGAGTTTGAGCTCGCTTTTGATTTTTCAATTCTATCTTAATTATTGTCTTGCGGGCTGAATATTGTGCATACGATGGAACTCCTCTAGGGTCATCCCTTCTCATCAAGATTTGCGAATCTCAGAACTCCACCACATGCTCCTCAATCTCCAACAAGATCATTTAGAGGTGGCCCACCTATGAGTTGTAAGTTTCTGATAATGGTGTTATCTTGATGTTTTAAGTAATTTTTTTTACGTGTGGAGTCCATCTGATCATCTGACTTTTAAGTTAAATGCTATTTGTCACATTTGTGATCTTTATTTTGCTGTTCTCTGTTTAGTCAGTAATCTCTCAACTTTCATGCTTGGTGTGCTCTAGATGGAGGAAGACAGAGAGGTGGAAGGGTACATGATGCTTTAGTTGGAGCTAGTGTGAAGATTTACCATGGACCATTTAAAGGTTGTAAGGGGCGTGTTGTTGATATCAGAGGAACTTCTGTCCGATTTGAACTGGAAGCACCGATGAAAGTTGTTACAGGCAAGTGTCCCNACATGTGGAGTCCATCTGATCATCTGACTTTTAAGTTAAATGCTATTTGTCACATTTGTGATCTTTATTTTGCTGTTCTCTGTTTAGTCATTAGTCTCTCAATTTTTATGCTTGGTGTGCTCTAGATGGAGGAAGACATAGATGTGGAAGAGTACATGCTGATGCTTTAGTTACCAAAGGTGATTCCTTAAACACAAAGGGCCCTCTTTCTAATTTTTGGACAGTCATCCAAATTTAGGCAGAGATTTCCTTTTTCAACTTTCTGTTGTTTCCATCTTTTGATTGCTTTCATTCTTTGCTGACTGCGATGTTTCCTGCAGTTGAACGCAATCATTTCAACACAATTCCGGTAAGTATATCGCTGCAAACCTTGAGTTGTTGAGTGTTTTAGTGTTCACTGTCTAGCTATTGTTCTGTTTATTTTAGGGAACCATTTAGATATGGCTTGGGACGTGAAATACCATCACTTCTTTCAAGGACTCTACTCCCCACCCATCTATGATGAAGACAGCTTCAAAATAGTGTTGGATGAAATAACCAAATTAGTTTAATTTTTGAATGTTGTGCTACTTTTTAATTGTTTAGAGTTTTTAAGTTTTGCCCGTGAGCTTAAAAATCTTTGTTGCATACAATTTTGCCTGGGGATTGGAAAAAAATTGATGGGTGGCACAAAAGAAAAAAAGTAAGTTGTTTTTAGGGGTGCCACAAAAGTAAAAAAGAAAACCCTCTAATTTTAGGAATTTTTGTGCGGTGGCAACCAAAACTTTTACGGAGTTGTGTGAAAAAGAAATATTTTTTGAAAAAAAGGGGTAGTAAGTCGGGAAATCTTCCCTCTTAATAGAAATATATAATAACGTGTAAAATAAAACAGCCTTTAGTTTTAGGAATTTTTACGCAGATTTGCTTAATTATAAACATGTTTATTCTTTTATAGAGGTTCTGTTTAATTGCATATCTCATATATAATTATCAATTGTATACTGTTTAAAGTAACAAATTGGGCTCCAATTTTCTCTATTTTCTGTTTTTCTTTTTTCTTCCCCAAATTCAAACCTCTTCACCCAAAATTGAATACACTAATTCCACCATTGAAACTTAATACGCTATTAGAATTTGAGGATTATGACATCGAGTTAAATGCAGTACGGAAAGGAAATTGAAGTATTTTCCAAAGGACAGTTTTATGTTAACAGAGTGATGGAGTGGGTCAATTCCTTATTTCCATTGTAACTCAGTTGAACTTTCAAGATCCGAATTGAAATTCGTTCTTATTTACAGTTGAGTGAGTTACTAAAGATTAGAGTTGGTTTAGTTAAAATTTCAAGACTTAAACTCGGAAAGGAAGGAGAATAATATTGTACAGTCCTACCTCTTTAAAACGTCTTCATATAACAGTCATTCACTATAAAGCTAAGTTTTTCTCGGAACCAATTTTTTATGTTATATTTCACTTTTCTATAATAACCTTTTACCTATAAAAGCAACATCCATCTTTATAGTAGTACGTTCTTTATAAAATTACCCCTCTATAACATCCATGTAGAATTCATAATAAGATCGCCAATAATAAGTTTAAAGATTTGACCTCAACATACTGCTACTTGGATTGAGATAGAAGATTCAACTGTTAACCTCTTAGATTACCTTCAAGGGAAAACTATTAGATATCCTTTTGTTGAAAGTTTGGATATCTTCACTAATTCAAGCGTTATATCGCTAGAAAGAGACTGAAATCTACGAAACAAGTTATAATTACAGAGTTTTTCCATCAATCTTAAAAGAATTTAATGTTCTAGTAGCTTTAAAATCTATGCTCTAGAGTTTAAATCTTCTACAAGTATATTTAAAATATATGTTGTTCGTATAATTGCTATAAATTTTTTGAATTGAGATTGAAGATTGAAATTATTTGGGTAAGTGTAATGACCTGATCGGTCGTTTTGAGCTCGAGCATGTTGTTCGACGGTTTGAGACTTTGAGCAGCTTCACTTCATGTATTATGACTTGCACGTGTAGTTGGTTTTGATTTTCGGAAAGTTCGGCATTGATTTGGAAGGATAATTCTCAATTCGGGAGTTCTAAGTTGGAAGAGTTGACCAAGGTTTGACTTTTAAGTAAACGACCTGAGAATCGAGATTTGAATATAGGTTCGTAAGATGGTTTCAGACTTGGGCGTATGTTCGGGTTGAGTATTGGATGGTATGGGAGCGTTTCAGCGCTTAATAATGGAAGTTTGTATTTTGAAGGTTTTGAAACTTGCTAAGTTTGACTTGGAGTGAATTTAGGTGTTATAAAACTCCGGGCGGTATTCCGGGACCTTGAATTGGTTTATTTTATTGATTGGAACTTCTGCGTGAAGTTTGGTTGTGATCCGAAATGTCTAAGTGTGATTTGGATGCATTTCGGTAAAGTTTGAATGTTTGGCAGTTAAGAGAAGGTTTTGATTGTCGATTCGTGGTTTTGATGTTATTCATGGTGTTTTGAGCCTTTGGACAAGTTTGGATAAGGTATTTGGACTGTCTTATATGGTTGGACGGGGTCTCGAGGATCTCGGGTGTGTTTCGAGGTGGTTTCGGACCAAGTTTTGATAATTTGGTGCTGCTGGTGTTGGTTAGAAGAAGCATTTTTGGCTGCTGGGAATTTGTGCTCAGTGTTCGTGATGGAGGACTCGCGTTCGTGAAGGTGTGGGGGGCATAGGTGCATCGCGTTCGTGACAAGCGCGTTGCGTTCACATAGGTGAGGCTGGGTCTAGAGAATGGCCTTTGCGTTTGTGAAGGTAAGGTCGCGTCCGCGATGATCGGGCCTGGTAAGGAATCGTGTTTGCGAGCCTGATCTCGCAATCACAAAGAAGGATTTGGAGCTGGAGTTGAGTTTGTGCTTCGCGAACGTGAGGCACATGTCGCGTTCGTAGAGAAGGACGCCTGGCAGATTATATGTTAGCCAAGTCAGGATTTTTCTCATTTCAACTCATTTCTCTCTTGCTTTGGCGATTTTTAGGCAATTTTGAGGAGCCATTTTCATCATCTATCATGAGGTAAGTTATTCCCACTTGTTGCAAGTTAAATACATGGATTTTAAAATGGAATTTGGTAGAAATTATGAGGGTTTAAAAAAAATCCTAGAAATAGTATTTTTGAGTTTTGACCACAAAATTGGACATGGAATTGAGAATAAATTATGTATTTGAGTTCGTGGTGCTATGGGTAATAACTATCTTCGAAAATTTTCAAAATCTGGGCGCGTGAGCTCAAGGGTTGACTTTATTGACTTTTCGGATGGAATTGAGAACTATTATTAATTGTTAAATTACGAGTCTTTGGGTATATTTTGATTGATTGGCACGCTGTTTGATTAGTTTCGGATCGTTTGGCATTGGTTTGAGGAGTTAGAGAGGCATTGGAGCCTGTTATCGAATTTTGAAGCGAGGTGTGTCTCCTGTCTAACCATGTGAGGGAAAATATACCTGGTAGGTACTATAATTGTTATATGCTACATGTTGTGGGAGCTACGCATGTATGAGATGACGAGTGTCAGTGCATATGCTAGAATTCCTAATTAGGTCCAAGTAGACTTAGACTCACACCATGCTTTAATTGTAATATTTGAGTTATTCTTGCCTATTTAATTGCTTTAATATATATTTGCCTGAGACTAGAGTTGCGTAAATTATCGGACTTGCGATTTTAGATATTTGGTGAGCTACTTGATTAGCAGAAGAGAGTATACTTCCTTCTACGGATTTTTTCCGTGTTGTACGAATTTATCCGAAAGTTTCTTGAATCTCATAACTCACACATATATTCGTGAGTGGGGCCAGTGACACGTCATGTTTCACTATTTGTGACGACCCAGAGGGTCATCACCGGTTTTCTCCCTTTTTTCGTTCTTTCGAGGCCTTGAAAACCTCACCTTTAGTTGCCTTGATTTGTGTGTGCAGTCCGGGCGCGTAGCTAGAAAAGCTTATGTGTTAAATTATGTGAAATTTGATAAATTGTGGCTTTAAAATGGTTAAAGTAGACTTTAGTCAACATTTTGGGTAAACGGACCCGAACCCGTGATTTGACGGTCCCGGAGGGTCCGTAAAAAAATACGGGACTCGGGCGTATGCCCGGAATCGAAATCCGAGGTCCCGAGCCCGAGAAATGAATTTTTAAAAGAAATTATTTTTCTGAAATTTATTTGGAAATTTGAAATGAAAATGGATTAGAAAGCATTGGTATCGGACCCGTATTTTGGTTCCGGCGCCCGGTACAGGTCTTATATGTGGTTTAAGCGCTTTCTGTGAAATTTGGTTGAAATAGGACGTCGTTTGATGTGTTTCGGACTTAAAACTCTAAATTTGAAAGTTTATGAAGTTTGAAGAAAAATGATGATTTTGAGGCTTGATTCATTGATTTTGATGTTATTTCGGCGATTTGATCGCTCGAGTAAGTTCGTAAGATGTTATTGAGTTAGTGTGTGTTTGGTTAGGAGCCCCGAGGGCTCGGGAGTGTTTCAGAGTGGTTTTAGCCTTAGAGATGTTGCAGAATCTGCTGTCTGCTGTTGCCCAATTCTTTGTTCTATGTGATCGCATAGCTGAGTCCACGATCGCATAATGTAAATTCTCAGGGGTCCAGTTTGTTCTATGCGATCGCATAGATCCTCCCGCGATCGCATAGTGTTAGCCTGAGAAGCCCTATATTTTCCTCCTATGCGATCGCGACCTTGCTTCCGCGATCGTAGTGCATACCAGACCTGACCATATGCGATCGCAATCCCTTCTCCGCGATCGCATAGAGCAATTTTGCCTAGTTATAAATTTTTATTCCAGAACAGTGTAGTTACGGGATTTTCATAAAAACACACGAGCTCTTTCTTCTCCAAGGTCCTTAGGTGTCCATTGAAGCTCTCTTTCACCAATACTTCTTGGGTTAGTAAATTCCCACTTATTTTCTTCATTTTCCATCATTAACTATTGAGTTCCTAAGCTTAAATCATGTAATTTAGA